AGTTTACACAGTTATCTTCTACGCTCTGGTTTTATTACAAGAAAAGAGGTTTCTACTGGTTTGGTTGATATATACTCAAAATGTGGAAAGCTTGATTACGGTCATGATATCTTCAATGAGGTACCTATGAAGGAAAGAGATATTGTGTTATGGAGTGTGATAATAGCTGGATATGGAGCACATGGACATGGAGATGTTGCAGTTTCTCTGTTTAATGAGATGGTTAAGTCTCAAGTTGAACCAAATGAAGTCACTTTCACTTCTGTTTTCCATGCTTGTAGCCATGGAGGGTTAGTTGATGATGGATTGAGTTTATTCAATTACATGAAGAGATATCACCCTGATGATCTTAGGCCGTATCATTATACTTGTATGGTTGATCTTTTTGGACGTGCCGGGCGGCTTGAGGAGGCTTATGACTTGATAAAAAACATGCCTTTCAGACCGACTCATGCTGTTTGGGGTGCATTACTTGGTGCCTGTGTTATACATGAAAATGTTGAGCTCGGAGAGGTGGCTGCGAAGTGGCTTTTTGAGTTAGAGCCACACAACACTGGAAATTATGTGTTGCTGGGAAACATGTATTCTGCTTTGGGAAGGTGGAAAGATGCTGAGAATGTGAGACATATGATGAATGAAGTAGGATTGAGAAAAAGGCCTGCTCAAAGTTCCATAAGTTGAGGCGGCTGATATGCCACATCCATCTTAGCAACATTACAAGTGTTGGAAGCATTGCGTAGTAAAGGTCAACCTGGTCACATTCCAAAGGCATGGCAAAAGCAACATAACATGCAAAAGGCATCTGTTATTATTTGTAGCTTTGACATTGCCCAATATGGTCTTGAGCATTTATGTATCTTGTTTTACATTGAGTACTTTTAAACCATTGTGGACGTACTGTTTGGTATCCTTTTATTAGCTAGTTTATCTACGATTACTTTTATTCTTTGCTCTAGTTACTCTAGGGCTTATCTACTATGACCAAACAAAACACTTACAATTGATTTTATGGAGGCAATTTCTGTGACTAATTTCTCTGTTCTAATTGGTCAGTAGAATAATGGTACACCTTGATATGTTTCAATTTTTAATGATGTCAATGATTACTACATCATAGAACCTCAAGAATAGACCTTTACTTCTCACTTACTATGATTTAGAAAAATGGACCACTAAGGTCTATAGATCATACACATGTTTCTCAGTCAACAAGTTGCACTTTCTGGAATATTTGCTATGTGTGAGTTATGCATTTCGTCAATTGGTTGACCTTACACAAGTGTATATTGTTGATATGGAAAATATCATGCTCTAGGAATGAATATTATTTTTCTGGTGACTCCCATTCTGTGGTGATTGAGGAGGTTTTCATCAAGAACATTGTATCTCAGAGTCAGAAAGTGATCAGTTAACCCTAGAGAGTGGATTTCATATTTTCATTCAATGTAATGGTAAGTTCTCCATCCATAACCTTTAGGTTTCAACATATAATATTACAGCTGTTTTTTTACTTAATGATATATCATGCAATTGGTTCCATCATTTCCAATGGAGCCAAAGACTCACTAGTTTTCGGCTTCGAAATATAATGGAATAAAACAAAATGACTCACTAAACTGTCTGCGCTTCTTTGTGAAGCAGCAGTAAGTTCATACAATTTTGACAAGATTTTCATCATGGGTCATTCGGAAACAGTCTTTGTTATGACTGCATACATCCGACCTCCCTTACCCCACCGTAGGTGGGAGCCTTTGCGGTACTGGGGTAATATTTTTGTTGTTGTTGTTGTTGTATATCTCATGCAATTGTGAAGATGAACTGTGTATACTACATATGGCAAATTGGCAATGCACTTATACTTCTCAGGCTCCAGATGTAGGAACCCTAATATGCTAATATAGCTATAAATATAGCTACATGTATAGCTGCATTCAGTATCAGTTAATATAAGGGATAAGGGTCAGTTTGGTCCTCGAAGTTGCAAAAAAGTGGTCAAATAAGTCCTTATATAGAAAATTCTGTCTGGACGTGCCATTTGAGGTGGCTCCCGGTGGAATTTTTTGATTAAATGTTTTGAGCATCTTATTCATTAAGTCTAGTTTACTCATACCAAATTTCAGATTAAAATTCAATCGAGAAGACATTCAAATGAATTCTTGAAGATAACTGTGCCGTTAAAAGCGCAGTTATTTTCAAGAATTCATTTGAATGTCTCCCCAATTGAATTTTTAGCTGAAATTTGGTATGAGTAAACTAGACTTAATGAATAAGATGCTCAAAAAATTTCATCAAAAAATTCTACCGGTAGCCACCTCAAATGGCACGTCCGGACAGAATCTTCTATATAAGGACTTAGTTGACCCCTTTTTTGCAACTTCGAGGACCAAACTGACCCTTTACTCGTTAATATAATCATACTTTTTACATAATACATATAGAAAGCTGCTTTCATAGACACTCGTACTGAAGTGATTTTTTTGTCTTCAATATTGCTTAAGGGTAAAAGTTCTGGACTGTCCATTAATTTTATATGATGATGTATGGCATTCGGTAATCGGTATCAGACTATCAGTGAATATAGTCATACTTTTCACATATATAAAGCTGCTTTCATAGACGCTCGTACTAAAGTGATTTTTTTGTCTCAATATTGCTTAAGGGTAAAAGTTCTGGACTGTCCATTAATTTTACATGGTGATGTTACATTCCTGTTATATTTTCACTGAATAAGTATGTTCCTTAGAGGTTCTTAGTTATCAGCTTTCACTTTTATGAAAAAAACAGGTCAAGGAGTAGTTGCTGGATTTTCTTAGCAATGGATATGTGACGTGTATTTGGAATTGTTTTGATCGCAGTCCTGTTCCTCAATAGATGAATTTAAGATTCATTTAACCCCGCATACATTTATATAATGAGCTAACATATTCAAGAATTGTGTCAATGGTATTGCAGGTCATATCTTTCTGGTTTATTGGTTAATGGATGATTCCTTTTGGAGCACACATGATGGGATTCAATTAAGAATCGCTTGCATTTAGGCTATGTTTGGCATGCTCCCTTCAGCTCATAATGGGTTGGAATTTTCGAAATTCAGGCAATAGTCATAAAATAAGCTATGGTTGAAGTAAAAAAAAGGCTGCAGCTGTCTCTAAAAACACTGCTGCAGTATAAAATAAGCTGGGTCACTTAGTGACCCAGCTTTTCAATTCAGCCGATTGGATAAGAAAGTTGTGATGCCTAAATATCACTGCAGCTGTCTCTAAAAACTCTTCCCCGCAACCCCTCCCAATATCCTCCTCTCCTGGTCTCTTTGAGAGGCAAATATGATCATAGCTCACAATCCACAACTCAGCTCGCCCCTCTCTTTGAGAGGCAAATATGATCATAGCTCACAATCCACAACTCAGCTCGCCCCTTCTTTAATCACCTGTTCTGTAATTTTTTTTTCACCTTCTTGTCCTAGTTACTCCTTGTGGCTACTGGTGTCAGGTATGAATTTTAATTTTATACAAGAGCAAAAATAATGTATGTAGAAATTCTTTTGATAATTTTGTTTGAAATTAAAGATTATAGAATCATGATAAGTAATAAATGTATTTCATTTCGTCAAATGTGAATTTTAGAAGTGTATTGCATATATGTCATTAATATACTACAGTCCTTATGAGCTGCAGTTTTCTTCTTTTGGATCACTGATTTGTTTTGACCAATGGTTGATTTCTAAAATACTAATTACATGATTACATCCAGTATTGAAGCAAAATAAACTTTTACCCAGTTTTTATATAGAGGTTGAGTACAGTAAAAGACCTTTCCAGTCTAAAAACCCCTGTATTGCACCAACCGGTAGAGGGAATTAACCTCAACACTCTGGCTGGCTGGCCGACTGTGGGAGCCTGAATGAAAAACTTTTGATTGACGCATTGCAAAATACATAAAGTCGATTCTCTACCGAGCTTCTACACCATGTCCGCAAAAAAGGAACTTGAGCCTGAAGATTCGGCGAACATGCTGAGAGGCGATCAAGAGGTGAAGCAGGCAAAGGAGGAGGACAAACAAGTTGCCACCTCCACCCCACCCCCCTCGTAGTAAGAGGGAGCCGCCTCTGGCCAAGGGTACACCGGGCTGTGAACTAGGATTTTTGTTATTTCCTTATCGGAGGATGGCAAAACTGATATATACGAAGTATATGTCCATTTTCTTTTGAGATATATTTCTAACACTATTTCTAGTCTTGATTACTGGTTTTCTAGTAAGAATAAGCATGCTAATAAAACATGAGAGTGCGTGTGTTTGCTTGTACTTAAAAAATGATTTTTAGGTGATTTTTTTAGGAATTTTTAAAGTGATTTTAGAGTTCTTAATAGTAACATCAACAGTGTTTGAGAAGAAGAGTGTTTAAAAATAGTAAAAGCCTTCCCCAGACTTGAAAATAGAAAAAGGAAATAAAGTTGATATCTATTCAACTTTTTTGGGGAAGACTTGAAAATTTTACTCATTTGTGTTCTAAAGATTTTTTTTTTTTGTGAAATAGAAAAAGGAAATAAAGTTTAAAGCCTTCTCCCACATGCTTTTAGTTTTTAGCTTTTAAACGTTCCATTTAAGTAGAAAGTATCTGTTGAAAATACTTATTTCAACCTTTTAAGTTAAAAATGAAAAATACTATGTAGTATTTCAAAGTTTTTTCAAACACCTTCTAAAGTCTGCATCTTTGCGAAATTAACAACTTTTATATTCCTTATGATGTTTTAGTTCTATGTCTCATCTTAGGCTTAGACTATCCAATTGCTTTTGTTCGTATCATTAATAAATATTGGTAAGTTGTTTCCTCTGATCTCCCCAATCTTGAAAAAAATCCCTTATTTAATTTCTTAAATCAAATCAAATACGTAGTAAATTAATAACACTTGAACACTTGAAATTAATTAATCTAGAACAAGAAAACAAGAATGAATGAATTTCAAACATGCTGCGATTTGTTTATAAATTAATTTTCAATGGCGGTATATATAATAACAATTAGGAATTGAAGTGATTACACAAATTAAAAACCCAGTTTTTATTAAATTAATTAAAATGATGGGAGTGGTCTGAGAGTTGCAACAAATTTTTAGTGGGGTGGGTGAAAATAATTAATTAAACTAGTTGGGAGTTTGGAGTATATAGCTAGGGAGAGCAGAAGTAGTCGAATTTGAGCGTAGGAGTGGAATAGTTTCCAGATGAAATTGCAGAAGCAACAATGGCGTTTGCAGCATCAGTGTAATGAACTCCATCCCAACTTATGTATTTTGAGCCTTCCTCGCACACCTTAAACTCACCCTCCCCACATGGTTGACGGTAGTTGTATGGCGGTTCCCCACACCCAGCGCATGACGTCAATGGCTCCGGAAAACCTATTCATCATTTTACCCATAACAAATCATAGTTTCATTTTAGTTGCAACATAGAACAGGAGCTAGGCCGAACTGGATCAAAATAAAGAATATACTTGGAAAACAATTTGCACAAAAAAATTAATTTATAAATTATTGGCCCGGCTAGGCCAATGATTTTTAATTTTGGGGCAGACCAGAACCTAGGTGGCCCCCTATCTAGATCCACCCCAATGATTTATAAATTAAATTATACACTTCACACTCTCTCTTTGATTACATTTTATTTATTAATATAATCTATGAAAACTATTATCTTCGAAAAGTATTATTGAATTCGTCTCATTACAAATTTTCATAATCAGATTTTTTAGATTTTTTACTAATAAAAAATTAAAATATGAAAAATGAGAATATTGCAATTTTAAAAGAACGGATGAAATATATAACTACTTCAATAAAAATTGGATTTCGGGGAGAGGTAGTTTAATTACTTAACATTTGAGACCAAATTAAATCAAAAGACGAGTTTTGTTTAATTACCGTAGAGGGTGGAGTTGGAAATAAGGCTGTACTTAATGCTGTAGATATCCACATATACAATGGTAGCATTCTTAAGCTCAACTCTGAGTTGTTCACATATAGTTTTCAGCTGCGTGTTGAATATTTGTGCCGCTTCATTAAGAGACTTGAGGCAGCCATAATCGTCCAAATCGGTACTTGCATTATTCACTTTTATGGTAGCAAGTTTCTTAGGCAAACACCCAAATGGCCCAGTGTTGTGCACCCAAAACTTCTTTCCACCGTATGCATAATATATGGTCTACAATTTGATTTCCCCACAATTAGTATCTAACATATTATATCCGATAAAATGATAAATGATACATTAGCTATCACTAAAAAAATTACCGGATTGATACGGATTTGTCAATGATTCCGTGCCAAATAGCTCATACCAAATTGTTTTTGGCACGGATTTGGCACATCCTTGTCAATTTTGGAGAATCTCTGCCAAAAATCTCTGCCATTTCCGTTTTTTTTTGTAGTACATGTATTTGGTATTGTTGCATTTAGGTCCTTAACTCTTAAATGAACTAAATCAGTACATAATCTCTATGCAGTGTGCACTATCCACCGTACCGTACAATGATGTTATGCCGGTTGAAACATTTATGCATGTTATGGTACCAATTTGGTTCATCAAGAGCTAAAGCATTAAAATGCAATAATACCACTGTTTAAAGTATGGTACCAAGTTGGAAAAATGATCAAGGATCGAAACCCGCAATGACCATGTGGAGATCACAGCTCCTATGTTCTGGAATGGGTTTCTGGTGCGCACGAGTATAAGGTCTACCACCGTTATGATTGGTTGAGTCACCGTGATTTACAACCTCCCATGTGCTCTGTTGAGTCGCGGAGTCGGGGCGTGGAGGGCCCTTGAGGTTGGGGATTCAACCTTTTGGACAAACCACTGTTTAAAGTATCGTTTATGCATTTCACTCTATTATATATACTCGAGCAAATGCATAATATACAGATTACATTTCAGTGTATATTTTGTTGTCTATAGTCCAATAGACCTATGAAATAGAATATTGCTCCGAAAATGTATATTACCCGAAGAGTATTGTTAATTTCGGAGATGAAGGATGGAATCTGTTTAATCACTTCAGTTTGGCTAGAAAGGGAAGAAAATAGGCCATCGATATCGTTCTGCCCTATATCAATCATGTATAGTGCGTTCTTAAACTCCTCATCTCCCATCATTCCTTTGATCCCTGTTTAAATGCCGCAAAAAAATATAGGACAACAGTAAAACATGCATGCATGAATATGATCACACACATTTATAATATAAGGAGTATTTATTTTCAATTTCTTGTTCGTATTATAATTCATACTTCCTCTGTTCTTTTTTAGTTGCAACATTCCCTTTTTCACGCTTGTCAATGCACAACTTTGACCGTCATTATATTTAATTCTCTATTAGTAAAAAACATTTAAAAATCGGATTATGAAACTTCGTAATGAGACGAATTCAACAATATTTTTCGAAAAAAATAATTCACATACATTAGTAAATAAAATGTAGTCAAAGTAGAGTGCATGAATAGTGCGTAAATTCCAATGTTGCAACTATTATGATACGGAGGATAGTATAAACAAGGGGGATCGGAGTTATGTTCACCCACTTTAAGTCAAGGTAAGAAAAAGTCCTAATAAGTAATAAAGAAAATTTTAAATTATACAGTAAATAAGCCATAATTAAATGTCATATATAGATTTGTCATAAATAATAATAATAATTATCATTGATAAAAACTACCTCCACCTTATAATTGGGATTTGCTTTTGCTTTTGAAAATCAATGATATTGACCTTGTATTAATTGATTGATAAAGTTAATTAATTAATTGTAGGACAAAAATTGTCAATTTTCAGAAAGTGATAAATGAAGGATATGAAAAGTGTGAAATTATAGATAAGTAAATATGTTTTTCTCTTTTAACTAAATATACTAGTTGTCAAAAACTAAAGCTAGTGATGACAATATATAACTACTAAGAATGAAATACATAGTTTGAATATTGTAAGAAAATTGGCAAAACATAGAGAATGAAATAAATTTTCTTCACCTTCTTCCAAAGTTTTTAGTAAGTTCTATTTAGTATGTTTTTCGAAATAATATTAGTGTTATATGAAAAAAAAATTAATTTAATTTTCTTTTTTTTTCTAAAAAAGTGAACAATAATGAAAAATGTTGGTATTCTTAAAAATAAAATATTTATGTGCAACATGATATTGAATTAGTGGATAAAAGAGGGAGTATCGATCATGTTCATCTCTTTGAATGAGAGGGCAACAAATTACTCTAATAAAGAATACTTCGTATGTTATATAATTAAATCCATAATTAAATGTCATAGATTTTGTCAAAAAATTAACAAGTGCCATAGACAATATATACTACCTCAGCTCCATCTAATAATTGAGCTTTAATTTGGTTTTGCTTTAAAGTAAAAGTTTATGGAACTTGAGTCGTCCTTGGCAGTTAATATTTAAAAGAATTATAGCATTAAAATATTATATAATAAGTTTCTTGAACTACTATGACTATATTATTTTATATTTAATATTAAAAGTGCATAATCTTAAAATTAAGAGAAAAATGAATTAAACATCCCAAACTTTGAAGGGGTGTAATGTTAGTTCTTCAAACTTGCCTATGCAATATCTATCTCAATCTTTATATGGTGTTAAATACATAATTTAAAATACACAAAGCACTGATGACAATGCAATTGAAACTATTGTACTGGATGTAATATTTCACAAATAGAATTTCGGAATGTTAACATCATACAAACATACCTTATAGTATTTTAAATTTTGTACTTAATTCAATAAATTTACATTTATAAAAAACATATAATCATGACGCAAAAATAACTTTTTATATAAAGTTCGGGTAATGTATTTTATGCTATCGTATACAAGTTCGTTTGAGATACATAGTATTTAATTATCTCACTCTCCAACGAAGTTTGAATTATTTATATTAATTTCCGCTAAAAATAGTAATCCAAATCTGGATATACCTTGTGAATGAAACTGCATAGAGCGGTTGCGGAAGCGGTTGAATTGATTGAGTTGAGTGCTCAAGCTGAAAAGAACATTTTTAGGTAGTGTTTGCGAGCCTGCTACTGCAAAACTTACCCCGTTTTTAAAACCTGTATTCATCGATTCCAGATACGGAGACAACAAATCCGCCTTCACACTCTCACCTGTTGTGCCCATTTTTGGAGTAGTTGATTAACATCACATTACCTTTTCCCAGTAGTTAAATTAAGAAGTCAAAGATTCTTTTATGGATGGATAAAAATTAGGGTAAATTCCGGAAATAGGAATAAAAGTGATTTGAAATTCAAAATAAAAGTTACTGTTGGGCCACGAAATAATTGACGGATTAAACAAAGGTTCGGCCCATGATCAAATATAAAGTTAGTCGATCCAGTCCAGCAAGCCACACCATCAGATAAATATGTGCGGCTAAATAAAAGAGGAGCTTAGTGAAAAGGTCAAAGAACTAACTCCCAAATCCAGCAAAAATAGGAGCCGATTATGATGGGCAGTTAGAAGTGGGCAAAAGAATCGGAAGAAAATCTATCCACTATTGACTATAAAAGCAAAGGTCTAAAATGGAGCAAGGCAGAGAGGAATTACGTAATTTGCATTTAGCTAAACACAAAAAAGCTCTATCATTGATCATCATTGTAATTTCTTATATTTTATTTCTTGATAGCTAGATATAATTCTTGTACGTAGCCCAATTATTTATCTATTTGATTGTTTGAATTAGCACAAAAATTGCTAAAACAATTTGGCGCCCACCGTGGGGCATCGTGCAAGAAAGAAATCAATTATGGCAGGAACGAATCAGCTGTTAATTGAATTCCATGAGCAGCTTGAGACAGTCCGGGAGGAAATCCGGCATGAGATGGCGGAGAAGATGGCCCATCTTCAACGCGAGAACGACGTACTTCGCTCCCAGGTACAATCTGTAGTCTCGATAGCTTCAAACTCGAGGCTCAATCGGAGGAGTGACACAATGACTGCTGCAACAAGGTTAGATCTCGGATCCTCCCCACCAGCGACGGATCCGCCAGCAACAGCGACGGATCCACCCGCAACATCGACGGATCCACCTGCAATAGTGACAGATCCCGTCTCCCTCACGCTAGGTCTGTCACCTTCACCACTAGTCAATATTCCGGCTTGCTTTTCCCCGGAATCCCTTCGGGTCAGATCAAATGGATCTGGCATATATTCGGCGACCCAATGCATACCTACGACGACTCTGTCCTCTACCCCGACAGAGCCGTCAATTCCTCATTACAGGAGCAGAACTTGTGGGGAGCCTGGTCCATCAAGTTTCATGCAGTACGCCAGACGGAATGAGCCTAGTGTATCATTTCTAGAGCCTCTGACGGAACGCTTTGGCAGACCTGTCACGACATCAGCGTCGACGCTTCCAGAGTGACGCCCCGAAGTGAATTTCATCCCGTCACCAACCCGTCCTGAAGTCACCCAGATGGTAGGACCAACGTCTTCTATCCCAATACCAATCCACCCAGCCGTAGCAGATCAGATGTCCATGTTGATGGAGCAAGTGCGTCAGATGCAAGACAAGATCAACGGATTGCCAAGGGTACCCCCGCCCTTGGAAAGAGCGTCACGAACGTGCTATGAAGATTCACCTTTTGACGCTTCGATCATTCGTGTCCAACTGCCGAATAAATTTGACGTACCAACCATGGAGCCATTTGACGGAACCACGGATCCTGGAGAACATGTCGCGCGGTATAAGCAAGTGATGTCGACCGTCTCTGTTAGACTTGAACAGAAAGAGGCATGTATGTGCCGGGGATTCGGCATGACATTGACCGGTCCCGCTTTGACATGGTTCGTCAATCTTCCGAATAGAAGCGTCAGTTCATTTGCCGAACTCGTCAATCTTTTCAATTGACAATTCGCGAGTAGTAGGGTATTGGAAAGACGGACCAGTGACTTATATCAAGTCACACAGAGGCATGGTGAATCACTTAGAGATTATTTGCACAGATTCAACGTAAGGAAGGTGTCGATCCCAAAATGTGACGTCTCTACCGTCATTGAAGCATTCCGAAGAGGTTTATATGAAGATTCAGAGCTATACCGAGAGCTGACGAAATACCCTTGTCGATCCTTCGAAGATGTCCAAGCAAAGGCATTGGCTTTCATCCGTCTAGAAGAAGACTTACGATCCCGTCTTGGACATGTTGAGCATGAATGGGGGCACGGGAAATCAGAATCTCCTAGGAGGCTTGATTACAAGTCTGGGAAACCTTATTCAAGACCCGAGGAACGAGTCGTCATTCCATGACGAAATGAACAAGACAAAGTGATTGATATCCCGGACGGGGGGCACATCGTCTGATGATAGACAGATTCTAAAGAGCTGCAATACGGTACCCTTAAAAGTTGTTTCATTTTAGTTTGTTACTTTCTTTCGCATATTGTCGTCAATTCCGTGACGAGTCACTTCTGTGACGGATCGCTTTCGTGACGAATCACTTTGATGACGAATCACTTTCTTGACGAGTTACTTCCGTGACGAGTCATTTCTGTGACGAGTCACTTTCGTGATAACTCACTTCGGTGACGAAATGATTGAAATCGTCAGGCGGGGGGCATATCGTCCTATGGTAGACATGTTATGGTGATAACTTATCTAGATTGGTATACATATTCTTAATCTATTATTTTCATTTATCTATAAACGATCACCTACTAACTTAATCATCAGAGGGCCGTTGGCTTAAGGCCAACGACCAATCCTAACGACGCTTTGAGCGCAGGAAACCGAATGAGGCGCCAGGTAAATCTCTTTGATACGTCGCACAATAAGTCCATGACGTATCGGGTACGACGAATCTGTCAAAGTGTCATAGTCATTGGTCAGTCTGTACGTCACTTTGAGGTCTTGTCTTACTTTGATCCCTGACAGATCAGTGAGTTTAATCTGAAAAATCTCATATCATTTATAAAACCGAGTGACTGATTTAGAATAGATTGAGTCTAGCTAAAATTTGGTTTCTTTAATAATCTATGCATTTTCCTTTGAGTTATTTTGTACATGATTAACTTATCTCATTTCTAGGCTTTAGTTCAATCAATTTTGGATCCTTTATGGAATCATTCTGTGGTTATCTTGTTTAGAGAAAGTTGTGACATGTTCAGTGTAATTTATAC